CTCTCTCTCTCTTTAAACGCACGCACAGCCACGCCGTTGGATCCAGTCGATTGCGCACACAGCATGCCTGTCATTTCGCCCTCGTCGGGCCGCCCGCGTTTCAGAAGAGCACCGGGTAGACGAGCGTCGTCCAGACGTAGAGGGCCACGACGAGGAGCAGCACCAGCGCCAGCACCAGCGGCAGCGTGCCAAACTTGTATCGGTACAGCTCCACTAGCTGCTCGAGGTACTTGATCATGACCTTGGAATCGAGCTTGCTCTCGCCCTCTTGGCGCAGCCCAAAGCTGAACGGCACCTCGGCGATGCCGTTGGCCGGAATGTGCGCCTTGACCAGCAGGTCGAGCGCAATCTTGAAGCCCTGCGCGTTGACCGGGCCCGCCAGCTCAAACTGCGCCCAGATAGCAGAAGAGGGCAGAAGTCGACGACAGAGTTCAGCATTCCCGGAATCGGAGCCCTGCACCGATGAAGGCGGCATCCACGCCTGCCCCGCCGCTCGCTCACCTTTTGCTTTGTGATGCCAAAGAAGCCCGACATGGGGTCGCTGGCGGGCGTCAGCGGCAGCGCGAGCATCCGTGCGCCCGACGAGATGATGCGGCGGTGGAGCGGCCAGTCCTTGTCCATCTCGACGCCCTCGGCGTACCTCGTCCCCAGCACGAACGGCTTGCTCTCTCCGAGGGCGAGCAGCAGCGAGGGGACCGCCTCGGGCGGGTGTTGGAGGTCGGCGTCCATGCACAGCATCCGCTGGCCCCTCGCCTCGCGGAAGCCGCGCACCACCGCCGAGCTCAGCCCGCGCTCCGTGGTGCGCACCACGATGCGCACATTGTACCCCTCCGACTGGAGCGCCGCCACCGTCTCCTCGGACCCGTCCCGCGAGTTGTCGTCGACGATGACGACCTCGGCATCCTTGAACTCGGAGCTCGACGGGTGCGACGCAAACGCCTGGAACAGCCGCGTCACCAGCGGCCGCAGGTTGGCATTCTCCCGAAACGCCGGCACAATGACCGAGCAGCTGGTCGACGTCGACGACGATGAAGACGAGGGGTCAAAGGACCCGGCGACGGACTGGTTGCGGCGGGACTTGGCGGTGGACATGTCGACCGAGTAGGACATGGGCGTGAGGGAGTAGCGGTGCGCAGGGACGGTGCTTGGCCGGCGGCGAGGAAGTTGATGGTGGTGGCGGTGGTGCTGATGGTGGTGGTGCTGGAAAGCGGCGCCTGTCTCTGCTGATGATGATGCTTGCAAGCAGTGCCCGCTGTGTTTGTCGCTGATCGAAGTGGAAGAGCAAGAGGGCAGCAGAGCTTCCCGACCGAGCCCGCCGACTCGGCGACGCGGGAAGCCTTCGCAGCAGCGCAGCGCAGGGGCCCGTGCAGGGTCGCCCCTCGTCGGCCTCGGCCCATTTTCGCGTGGATTTCTTACCTGGTTTTCCTCAGGCACCCGCAGACGCCTCTCTCTGCCCTCGCCACGCACCACCGGCGACACACCGACCAGCCTGCCTTCGAGATCCGTGGTTCGCACGCAGGGCCGGCCAGACCAGACGAGGAGCGACGGCAGCGCCAGGGCAGCGATGCGCGCCACAGCTGACCGGGGAGCAAACGTTTGACCATGCTGGATTGCGATCGAAGGATGATGCCTTCCCTCGGCCCAGGGCGCGAGCGGAAGGGCACTTTTGGGGCGGGCCGACGGCGCGGACCACTTGCCGCGGTGGTAACGTCACGTCGACCAACTACCTACACAGGGTGACCAACGAAGGGTGGAGAGAAAGGGGGGGCAGGGGAATGGGGGCGAGGGGGGACAAGGGGCACTGTACAGCGAGGGCGAGGAGGGGGGAAGGGGTAGAAGGGCAGAGAGAGGGGTCGACGGCGGGCGGCGGCCCGTCGTCTAGACCTTCTGGCCGAGCGCCTGGAACTGTTGCGCCCTGCCGCG